TAAATGTATTTACATATTTAATAATATATAAAATTTATATAAAAAATAATATTAAAAAATTATACTTATAACACTGTTTAAAATAAAAATACAATTATATGCATTTAATATCAGGAAAGGAAATTGTAACTATCAACACAATCAGCCACGTAAGCATAAAGATTGCGCCGACCTCTTGAGCGTCTGTTATGCAAGCGGGAGATTTTCGCTTTGGGTGTCTGGCGACATTTCCAAAGCTTTACACTCGGCGGCGCCTGTTCACCTCGGCATCTCCGCCTCTTTATTTCTTCTTCAAGCTTCTCTTCCTCATTTCTGCCTTAATTTGATTCCAGCAGCACCGTCGGCACCGGTAAACGCTTCTTAATTTTCCTGGTTGCAATGTCGCAGTCGCTCCAATTCTTTACTCCTTTCCGCTGCCCCTACCTCACTCCCCCAAAACACGCGGCGACGTCCTATCGATGGTTCCGTGGCACCAAGCTTCCAAGCAGAAAACAATCCTTCCCGGCTGTCAAATTCTCGTCTTCAGATCTTAATGCTGCGTCATCGAAAGTTCTAGCATCCGACAACGGTCAAACCGTGGTGAACGGGGCGTTACCCACGGACAACGTGGTAACGCAGGTGCAGTCTGATTCTGGGTCTATTGAGGTGGATGCGGTTACGGAGGCGGAACTGAAGGAGAACGGGTTCAGGAGCACGAGGCGGACCAAGCTCGTTTGCACGATCGGGCCGGCTACGTGTGGGTTCAAGCAGCTGGAAGCGCTGGCGGTTGGGGGAATGAACGTGGCTCGGATTAACATGTGCCATGGGACTCGCGAGTGGCACCGGAGTGTGATAGAATGTGTCAGGAGGCTCAACGAGGAGAAAGGGTTCGCGGTTGCCATTATGATGGACACTGAAGGGAGCGAAATTCACATGGGCGATCTTGGTGGCGCTTCCCCGGCAAAAGCAGAGGTAATTCTTTTCTCAAAGAATTTGAATCACATTTTTTATCCTTCCTTTTTAAATCCAATTACTCTTTTGGGGGTTTGTTAAATTTGTACTCATTAAAAGGCATTACTTGTTCAATGCAGGATGGGGAAATCTGGACGTTTAGTGTTAGAGCTTTCGATTCCGGTCTGCCAGAACGCACCATCAATGTGAATTATGATGGTTTTGCCGAAGGTTGTTATTTGTGGATTGATTGTTGTTAACAAACATGTTCTTTATTTATTAAAAGAATGTAACGATAATGTCTGTGTTCATATATTGATGATTGTTGGAAATTAGCTAACAGTTATGTTTTACAGATGTGAAAGTTGGTGATGAGCTTCTGGTAGATGGTGGAATGGTGAGGTTTGAGGTGATTGAGAAGATTGGTCCTGATGTCAAGTGTAGATGTACTGATCCAGGATTGTTGCTTCCACGAGCGAATTTGACTTTCTGGAGGGATGGAAGTCTTGTCCGAGAGCGCAATGCCATGCTTCCCACCATTTCATCCAAGGTTTTCTTTCTTGTTCTTCTTTAGATCTTACTTTTTAAAATTAATTGGTTTTTACTCCTGCCAGAGTTATGATGTTAATATG